GTGAGTTATGTTAGCATTCTGCTCTCGTACAGGTGAAGGCAGGAAATGATCTATAGAAACAGTTTGTACTGTAAACATTGAACATGGGACTGACTCAGTGCTGCCTCTGCTGGCTGTCAGAGGAACTGTAGGTTTGGGTGCTTTTATACTGGCTTCATTCTTTTGCTGCTTGATGACACACAGAGAGTCAGAGACACAACTTCCTGTCTGTGCACATCGCCCAGATCCTGAGGAAAGCTGGACGTGTATAAAGGTCCTGTGGGAGGAGCTGAACTGTCAGTCACCTGAGAGCTCAGTGACATCAGCAGAGCGAGCCTTCTTGTATGTGTGTCAGTGGCGTGCAGGGACTTCCCCCTGTGTAGCTGGGCTGCTTCCAGTGAGCGTGTGCAGTCATGGCGTCTGCGGTGAGGATGCTAATCCAGCACGACGAGCCCGGGGAAACTCCTCCTCCGAGAGCTGTCGTTAACAGACAGATGTGGGTCGGTGCTGCCACACAGACTCATGCAGGAGCTGCAGCGGTCGCACAGACTGCATCTTTAAATGGAAACCCTGGATTCCCCTGCAGTGTTTCACCGTTTTATTTCATTATGCAGCCGCAGCACAAAGTGCATCAGCTTTATTTCCTCTAATGCTCTGATTTAGCTCCAAAAGCCCAGATACACGCTCACCGCTGCTTCTTGGCCCTCATCATCTTATCAACAGCGGCTCTGTGAGTGAGGAGAGCACCGTGACCTCTTAAAGTTTCATTTCCACTCAGGTGAATATTAAATACAAGCCCACTAATATTTATTGAAGCCCTTTTTGCTTCATTCATCCTGAGTGCGTGAAAGCTTTTTCATTTTCTGTGCGAAGCAGCTGAGATTGATTCCTTAGATCTAAACATCTCAGTTTAAACTCTGCCTGCACCTCGACCTGCCTTCTGTGGGAACACTTTAGAGCAGTCAATGCTAACCGCGTCACGTGAATCAATGCAGAGACAGAACTACATTTATATGAATGCATCTATGTTTTAGCAGCACGCAGGAATAACCCGTGTGTTTGTGCGTTTGCATCTGTGTTGTTGGCTTTACGTCATTCGTGTTCTGCTGTCTCGTTATTAGCTCAACATTTTATGCATCGCGTTCCTGCTCCGAGTTTTGATGTCACTGCGATGTTTCTGAGGTCTCTGCTCCTCGCCTCAGTTTGTAGAACATCAACCTTCTTGGCTCGTTGTCTGTCGTCTCCTTGAATATGTCCGTAACAAGCAAAGGCGGTCGTAGTGCCTGAGATCTAATTATGGAAAACGCCGGGATGCTGATTCCAGCTTTGCACGTGTGTTTGATGGCTGGGACACAGTCAGGAGTAGCTTCGCTGCTGACAGGCAAAGCTAATAATCATCTCATTAAAATATAACGAGACTCGAACCGCCTCACATAGCGTGGCACTGTGTGGGCACACGCTCGCTGTTTGGATCCCAATAAATCTGACTTTCATGTCGGGCTCGGAGCGTGAAAGCATTTGTAAGCGTGGGTAGAAACGCCTCAGCGTCACCACCCAGCGAGGTGGTCATAACCTGGCAGCTCACGCTTCCACCTGTCCGCTGTCTAACAGCACGTTAGGGCAGGAGTCTCCATCCTCCAGCTCTTCTGGAAGCAGCCCCTGGCTCTGCTTCTGGTCTCCTTCCAAGAACCTCCCAGAAACACCTCACCTGGGAGCTATCAGCGTGGAAACATCTCAGCTGCCTCCCTTCAGTGTGGGTGAGCTCCTCCTGAGCGGCCGAGCTTGAAGGCCGACCCGGACGCTCTCAGAGGAAGCTCGTTTGTGCTCCTCGTATACGCGATCTCATCCTCTCAGCCCCACAGCTCGTGGTCATGGGTGAAGGGGGGGAGGAGGAGCTGAGGGTCTGCGCCAAGCCCAAGGATAAGATAAAGAAGGATTATTTTGATCTGTGACTGTTGTTTTTTGTGGGAAAAGTCGAGTGGAGACCAATTTTAAACAACATCACTTTAACCCTTTATGACAGGTCGGAGCGGGCGCGCTCTAAGTATTTTTAAATCCCGGCAGCTCTGCAACCACGTGAGCTAGCGCAATAATTTTTGCATATGAAACCGGAGGAGTTGTACTTACATCTGATGCCATCAGCTTGTCCTCGGTCACGGTTTCCTTCCACATGTAGCTTTGCAAAAACTGCATAAAAAGCACTTGCAGCAACAAAAACATAATATTCCAGAAACATGTTTGCTGATCTGATCAGCTGTTCGTAACACTTCCTACATTGGAACAGACGTCAGCGCGAACTATCGCACGTCCGCCGTTACCTGCCCGAAACCGGAAGTGACGTCATTTTCACGGGAAATTTAGTGTTTTCCTACAGAGATATGCTGATGTTTTTAGAAGTTTATTCCGCTTTTTTGCAATTTACGGAGTTACTATGGACCTAATGCAGACATATTATTAACATCTGGGATGTAATGGTTGTATTGATGTATAGCAACTTGAAATGCTCTGAAAAACGGCACTACAGCCTGTAAAAATACAAAGATAAGCTCTGGCGGACTTTGGTAGGTCTTAAAGGCTTGATGTCCAAAGACACGGTCTGTGACCATTTTAAAAAACCAGAATAAGCAGGATTGTAATATTAATAATAGTTTAATGAGATCTGCTGTGTTTCCCAGCGTTCTCCGCCTGAGCCGAGGAGTATTTGAGTATTTGAGGTGGAGGAAAAACAGCTCAGAGAAACGTCGGCATGCCGCTGGTGCTGCTGGCGAGGCCTGCAGGTGCTGCTCGTGTTGTTTGATTTGGCGTCTCGCTCTCGCCTCCTGCTCGCTGTTTGCTCTGATGTTTGGGTTAAACCGCGGGAGCGGGCGTCATGGTGGATCCCACGGATGCCCACATCGACAAAGAGGCAAATAAAGAGATTAAAAACGGTTTCAAACGGCAGGTAAACACAGTTTGATTCATCCAGGTGACTTTAAACAGGCATGCAGAGTGCTGTGGGTTATCAGCAGGGAGGCGGAGCAGCTCATTGGCGAGGTGTGTGTGCTTGTGGAGATCACAGACGTGACTCGTGACACACGTCCTGCTTGGGGGCTGTTTCTTGTTTTTCTCTAATAAATCTTTAGATTGGTTTGTGTCACTAGCGATGCATCGTCGGCTGAGAGGGAACGTGTGTGATCCTCGTCTATTTCCATCTTTCATCCGTTACAGAAGACGCCAAGAATATTTGTTGATGTGGAGATGGACCGAAACCTGCCTGCTTGTTCCTGGATCTCAGATTCAGTTTCTCTGATGATGTGTCAATTTAAAGTAAAAGGGAAACACAAAGTGACGCGTGTCATTTACTCAGAGCTCGTTCGTCATGAAGCTTGAACCAATCGTCTGCTTTAAGTTTGCAGACAAACTTTATGGAACAGTTCTTCTTAAAGCAACACTTTAACTTAAACTCCTCCTGATCTCCCGTCATGGATCACCTGCCTCAGGGCTGGATGCTCGCATAAACTCGCTTTGTGAGGGGCAGCCAATGGGGAGAAAGTTTTCTTGGAGGAGGAGGAGCTAAATCAGCTTGTTTCAGACAGAGGATGAAGTGAGCAGCTGCAGGGGGGCTCAGTGTGAGTTAAAGAAGGATTATTTCAAACTGTGACTCATGCAAAGCTGCTTTGGGAGAGAGCCAGAACACACGGGTAGAATTAGGGCTGGGCGATATATCGAGTTTTTAAAAAGTATCAATATAATTTTATACGAGATATAAGATGTGACAATATCCTTTATATCGATATAGTCTATGTTACGTTATAATTAGAGTTGTGGAACCACAAGTTTGCCTCTCTTTCGTCCACTTTTGTCTTTACGCAACGTTACTCGGCCTCGCCTCTCCTTCACCGAACACAACTCCCCCTCCTTCCCCATCGCTTCACCTGCAGGCAGCGACAAGATGGACACGGCAAATCTCCGTTAACAAGTTACTGCGCATCGGCCCGTGCGTGGGGCTGGACGGCATCAACGTGTTAACGAGCTAACCGCGCTAACGAGCTAATCACGCTAACGAGCCAACCACACTAACGCCATGCAGCCCAGACCCAGACCATGAACCGATTTTAGGTGGTACACGGCGCTCAGCAATCTGTCAAAAAATGTTTTAGTACGACTTTGGTAAGCGATGGAGCTGCACCGCTTGATGGATTGTCGGAGCATTACAGCTACCGAGGAGCCTCGCGGAGTGATACATACTGTGCTTCAACGTAATATAACTGTACTGTGTGTGTATAAGGACCATAAATGGCACCTGTAAGAGACACGTTAGATTAGGATTAGAAGAGGATTTCAAACTCCAGGCTGTCGGTCGCGCAGTAGAAGTTGTGAACAGAGCTGCTGTGAAATCTTTGTTATTACGCTCAGCGTCTGTTAGTTTACATTTTGACTGCAGTTGTGAGCTCTTTGTTATGCACAAAAACAACATTGTTTTCTTTTATTTATGGAGCATTATTATTTAATAAATGCTCATAATTTATTTTTGAGTAATTTTTTCATTTGCATCTGTATGTTAATAAAAGTGCCCGTGTGACATCTGGGACGCAGCTTTGACTAAGAACTCTCTGTTTGTTCTTTATGGCTTAAAAAAATATCGAGATGTATATCGTATATATCGCCATCCAGCTAAAGAATATCGAGATATGAATTTGGGGTCATATCGCCGAGTCCTAGGTAGAAGTTTAGTTTTTGCTTCTTTCGATTTTGGTCGTTCCCACAGTTGGATTACTTCAGATTTTATTATTCCAGATGTTTATTTTTTGTAGCTTCAGTGTGTTTTTCTCGTCAGGCTGATGCACCGATGCATCGGCGCCGCTGATGCTGCTGATTTCCTGTGTATTCTTAAATATTCCCGTCTCTGTAAATGTCAGCAGTACTTTACACCAAAGCCTCGTTTGCAGCGGGGCACGCATCACTACATGTAGCTGTGCTTGGTTTGCGAACGCGATTGGCTGAGGCTGGATGTGTGACCGTGCTGTGTCTGTGTTTCTCAGGATGACAGTTCAGTGAGCAGCGAGGAGGCCGAGATGAGCGAGCCCACGTGGCTAGCAGCCGATCTGGGAGCAGCGTCAGACCTGAGCCCATCGAGCCACGGAGAGAGGATGCGCCACAGTCCGCAGAACGCCCACAGCAAAGAGGACGACGGTAAGAGCGGCGTCACGCCCGCCGGGCGCTGCGTTTGTGGAGATGATGTGTAGGTTTCCTTTGAAGGCGTGCGGATTATCTGAAACATGCATGTGTGGACAGAGCAGATGGTGATCAGAGAGAAAAGCTCCTGTTGTGTTCACTGCTGTTAATCCCTGCAGCGGGTTCAGGAGGTCACACCAGATAATGTGCTGCGCTGAAACATCTCGCTGAAGCTTCTCCTGCGTCACCTCGTGTGATGGCGGCGCGCCGGCGCCGTCTGCTGCTGAATAAAGTGATAGGAAACAGGAAGCCTTCCACAGGTGGGCCGTCCTAACGAGGTAACAGGATGTTTTAGAGGCTTGCTATGATTGGTGTGTTTGAAGCCAGTGCAGCAGTCACATGATCCTCTCACACCTGTGCAGTTGTTGTGACATCACTTTGAGCTACGCCCACCTGAAAGACCAAATAACGCCTTCTTCCACCTGAAGATGATTGTGTAGTTTTGAGAGCTGCTGAAGACGAGGACGTGTAGAAACTTCAGGTGGAAGTCGGCAACATTCAGCTTTTTGTTCCGGCCATGCTAAGCTAACACGCTCGCGTCCTCAGACTTCAGCAGAGACCTTAAACCAAACTGGAACTTTATTCATTAGAAACAACGTGGAAGCTTCATCCTCAGTGTGACGGAGCAGCCTGGTGTCTCGCAGGTACTCTGGGAGTGATGTGGCTGAAACATCCTCGAAGAGTTTGTCTGTGTCGCACCTTCACCTGTCCTCCTCTTTCACGTTACTCCTTTAATAGGTCCTCCTGCTGTGAGGAGCGCTCACTTTGAAGACACTCGTCTCCTAATGCTGCAAGAATACAGCAATTACCTGCAAGTGTGTGTGTGTGTGTGTGTGTGTGTGTGTGTGTGTGTGTGTGTGTGTGTGTGTGTGCGTGTGTGTGTGTGCGTGTGCGTGTGTGTGTGTGTGTGTGTGTGCGCGCCGCTCATCAATACACAGCACTGAACCCTGAGTCTGATGTGAGGAGGGTGGCTGATCTTCATCAGTCTGGCCTCTTTGCTGCAGGAGGAGGAAACATGTTTGTGATTAAACACTTAATCGTGGCTTTTTCCAAACAGTAACCATCACAATAAACGTAACTTTGTGTAAACTGAGATGTTTGCGCTCTAACACACTTTGATCTTTAGTGGACCGATTTCTGCTTTACTGTGCATCTATTTCTGTATCTATTTACCCCGTCCATGATTATTGGGTGTGGCGTGGATTGGAGGTCATTATTTTACCGTCTAAATTTATTCTCTTCTTCACTTTAAAGACGGGGCCAGAATGGATTCTTTGCCAGGCCGATAATGGTCCCCGGGCCTTATATTTGACACCTCTGCTCTGTGGTATATACAACAGTAGTATATTGTCCCTGTGGGCTCCCTCATTATCATGCAGTGTGTATTTGATCAGACAGGAAGTCAGGGGCCTGGACAGGAAGTCAGGGGCCTGGACAGGAAGTCGGTGTCTGCTGTCCTTATTAGAAAGGTTAACGAGGTGCTGTAACGTGCAGGGACGATGATGATCATTTTTCATGCTGTTTCTTGGAGACGCCGCCGCGCTGAGTTCTGCTCAGGTTAGCTGTTAGCTGTTAGCATATTGTTTGATGCGTGATGTCATAATAAAATAAAATCCACCAACCAATGAGGCGCGCAGGTGGAAGCATCATCAGCGCTACAGTCCCTGTTTCGCCCGTGTTTGTGGTGCTGGTGCTGGGACTGTTTGGAGAGCATTGCATTGTGGGAGAGAGCCAGCTGGAGGCGGCGAGCTGTGAGCCTTCAGTGGGTGGCGGAGTGTACAGGGCCTTGTTATTCAAAGGTCAGTGTGCTGCCTGCACCTCGCATAGACGCCAGAGCAGCGGCGTAGGCGTCCAAATGCCACCGCACTCAGAGGAGCGGCGAGGGTGAAGTGGCTTCCTGCTAGAGTCCGATCCAAGAGGGAAGCGGGCAGAAAGCCCCCCCGGCCTCTAACGCACAGCAGGAATCTCCAACACGCTCAGACGGGGGGGGCTCCGATCGCCATCTTCTTTAAAAGATGAAGAAATCCTGATCGTCTTTCACATCAGTGCGAGGCCCGTCTGTGTGCTGCCTGTCAGTTTACCATCAGGAGAGCTGTGCAATTGTTATCGGGCCCCGCCCCCGGCGCCCTGCGGCGGTCTCCTGCTGCTTCTACACTCTCATGGAGCTGCTCTTTAAAGTGAAAGCGCCACTATTTTAAACTCGTGTTACTGCGAGCGGCGTCGGCGCTCAGCTCTGACGGCGAGGAGATGGAGGAGCTGCAGCCAAACAGCTTGCGCTTGATCCAACTCGGCGTGTTAATATCAGGTGGGCGTTTCCTCAGCGGCGAGCCATCAGCTTGTTTCTGCACTGCAGACGGAGCGCCCGCCGTGTTCAGGAGCAGCCAGTAAATCACCTTTAAAAGCTTCTGAGCGCCACCTCGGCTTTACGGCTGAGGTGGAGAGCTTTCACGATTGGTCCAGACTGACGGTTGGACACCTGCCGCCGAGGCCGGCCGGGTTCAGGAAAAACGAGCGTCGACAGACGATTGCACGAAGCAGCCAGCGAGCACGTGCGGTATCTCAGCGGGAGGTTAGAGGCATCAGATTAACAAAGAGTCTGAAATAAGCTACTATGTACCATTTCTCACTACTTAGACTCAGCCATGGTTAGTGGGTGACTGAGTTTAAAGAAAGCAGCAGCACGATGTCCTGATGAAACCAACATGAACGCAGGCGTGTAAAGAACGTGTCCTTCGTCGTGTGTTGTATGAATCAATCATGTTGGTGATTGCGGGCTCTGTCAGGACAGTGGTGCTCTGAGGTCCAGAGCGTGGGCTCCGTCCAGCTGTTTGTATCTGACAGTTGTGATATGAGAGCCGGTGGCGGAGCAGCTCTGCAGCAGCGTCAACCTCGACTCGGGCTGTCTGTGTAAATTTATTCAGCTGCTGCTGGAGGAGACGACCACGGCCTGAGCTCTCGGTCATCTGCGGCGCTCTCTGAGAGGCTGCTGCCCTCTCCACATCGCGCTGCCTCCGAGGGGAGTGCGTCCCCCTCATAAGTGGCCCCTCAACTGCCTCTCGTTTCTGGCTGCTAAGCGTCCTCTTCATCCCTCCCCCAAAGCCACATCCACACCAGATCCTCTGCTCTGCTGACCCGCCCCCTGGCTGGAGGACGAGGATGAAGAGGGCTCGTCAGGAGATGGAGTTGACATCACAGATCCTCTCCAAAGGGGACGAGCTGAGGGTGGAGAGGGGAATGGAGACGGGGCAGGAGGGATGATGAGAGTGACATCAGGAGGAGGAAGGGAGAGCATGAACCTGAGGAGCCAACATAGTGATCACATGATACATTGAGGTGGAAGCTGCTGCTGTTACAGATGTTCCAGTAAAGTTTCCCTTGTTTGTGAAGGTGCTGCACAGCTTCATGTTGTTCTTCAGCAACAAAGAGCAGCTGATCTTATTGATCCTCCTGAGAGTGGAACATGAAACATGAAGACACAGCTCAGAATGAACAAACTGCTTTCACTGCCACGACAGATCCACGGCTGAGTCGCTCTGTTTTACGATCATTATCAAACACTCCGACACTTCAGTGCCCAGTAAGGGGACGGCTTCTCCTTCCTGCCAGCTGTTGTACCTGTCAGACTGTGCAGCGTCCTGCACGAGCGAGACGAGCGCTCAAAGACATTTGTGTCTCTGACTGAGGAGAAAATCGAGTGGAAGCGACGTTTTCACGCTATCCTGTGTAACAAAGCGGATTAGAAAAGCAGTTATTTAGGCCTCAGTATGCAGATGCTCACTGACACGAGGACTGCTGGAGTTAAGGGGCCTCGATATCGTCTGTGCTGCACTTGCTCCTAATATTTCACCTCCTCTTCCTTTTGTCTGGCTGTGGTTATTTTAGTGGTTATGTTCCCTAGTTGGTGTCCTCGATGCTGAGAGCCTGCCTTTGCTGTGTCCAGGGAGGAGGATGGACAGGTAGGACAGTGGGACAGGTGAGCTGTGAGGAGGACGGGCAGGATGAAGAGTGACGAGGAGCAGAGTTCACCTCCGTGTGTGTGTGTGTCTGCTGTGCCGGCTACAGTCACTGCTTAATTATTAATACACACACCTTGAAACTAAAACATGCTAAGAGGCTGTGCAATTAATATTAGCTCCTCCCCAAACACACACACACACACACACACACACACACACACAGATCTCAAATCAAATCACTTTTATTGTAGCATCACATGTGCAGGTACATTGGTACAGCACATGTGAGTGAAATTCTTGTGTGCGAGCTTCACAAGCAACAGAGTTGTGCAAAATACAAGAACGGCTACATCTGAAACTAATAAATATATGTACAACATATAATATATATATACACACACTTTGTTAGGCTGGAATGAGCTCCTGCTGTGTCTGAGCACAACCTGTTGACATGTTTGTATAGAGGTGTGTGCGTGTGAGTAATTAGCTGCAGCCTCCTGCTTGCCTGTAATGAGCTCTGCTAGAGACTCGACACTCTTTAAACAAGCGTCTGACTAAACCTGCTGAGCTCTCAGAGCGGCGTGGGCTTGCAGCCTGGTGTGTGCGTGTGTGCGCGCGCGTGTGTGTGTTGCACTGTGGGATGTGGAGCGTTTTGTGGAAATGGCCTAATGGGGTTTGCAGCGGCGTTGCAATTTTCCCAGCCCATTATTGTGGCGCTCACTCTGAGGCTGAAAGCAGCTCTCGGGTCACTGATGAGAGGATTCTGGGAAATGCAGACGTCACTAATAGAAGAGAAAGCTGATGGAAAATGTGTCAGAGTCACTGCTCAGAGGACTCTTCATCACTCTGTGATGGAGCAGAGATGGATCAGCTGCTCTGAGCAGTGTGAGGCAGAGAAACCAACCACCAACTCGCCTGTTTGCATCATCAGGGGCGTGGCCTCTGTGACTGACAGGTGGATTGGGACATGGGCGGCTGTAGCTGCCAGCATTTTGAATGGCA